CACACACACACACACACACACACACACACACACACACACAAACACACACACACACACACACACACTCACCACAGAACTGCTTAAATAGATCCTACCATGTGGCGAAAATATCCCAGTTTTTGTCTCTCCTCCTCAGTTTTCTGTATTGGTCCACTCTATCTGCTCCAAGTGGATTTAAACAGAACATCTCCACAACTCAGTCCAGCGGTCAGACCCATTCTGCAGCTTTGGCACCTACAAGTTTAAACATTGAACAAATGAAAGTGTTCTGCACAGAGGATCATACTTTCATCCAGAGATTTTGGGAAGCTCAGTGATTTTTAAACAATTTGTCAGGCCTCTGACCTTTGTACTGACAACCACTGAGCATTGCTGTTTCTGGAACCTCACTGAAGGAACGTCAGCGGCAGGAATGCATGCTGAACTTAGTCAGTGTTTAGTACATGTGAACTTCAGAGAAAAACAGGTGTCAACATTACACAGTGCAACTATAACAAATGAAAGAAAGACACAAGTGCTTGATCAAAATGTATCATGCTCTTTGTAAATAATGCAGTTTATCAAATTATTTTAAGATTAACTATAATGCTAAGGGCTAAAGAGTGATTAAAATGTTCTGTTTCATTAATGATGCTTTCAGCAAAAAATGTGAAGGTATGACAGATTAAATTATTCCTTCTGGGTGCAAATTTTTACATGACAAGAAAAGCAATTGATATTGAGCCTCTTGTCTGTAGAACTATATCAACTCTGGTTCTTCAGCTTTCTCAGTGAAAACACAAAGTTTTCCCTGCAGGAGAGTTGATTCTCTCAGAGAAACTGGTCCCAGAAACCAGAACAGAACATGTTTGGACCTTTAGTGATGCTCTGATTCCTGCTTTATGAATGAGTGTAAGGCACATGTGGAACAACATTAGCCAAGGTCTTTTTGAAGAAATAACTCATGTACAAAACCACAACTTGAAAGTGACATTTAATTGATTCAAATGATAATGATAGGTGATATTGTCTTTGAGTTTTCCTGTTTGGGTTTCTTCTCTTTGGCCCCAATTAGGATATCCACATTACTCCAGGGCCTGTCTAAACAGTAAAGTACAGTAAGGACTGGCCATGGAGCAATGTGGATATCATAACTGGGCCTTCCTGAAAGCAGAGAAGAAACCCAAACAGGACTCCAGTCAGCCATCAGGTGAAAAGGAGGAACCCAGACCCAGACCAGTGGTCATTCCATATGTTCAGAGAAGCTGAGACGTTTGTTTTCCACAAACAGAGTAATATTGTGTATGCTGTTCAGTGTCAGGAGGGTGACCAGTCTTACATCAGGGAAACTAAGCAGCCACTGGCCAAAAGGATGGCCCAGCACAGAAGATCAACATCATCAGGCCAGGATTCTGTGGTCTACACTCATCTCCAGGCCAGCGGTCACTCTTTCAGGGATGAAGATGTTCACATCCTGGACAGAGAGGAACGATGGTTTGAGAGAGGAGTAAAGGAGGCCATCTTTGTGAAAATAAACCGTCCATCATTAAACAGGGGTGGAGGCCTCCGTGTTCAACTGTCCCCCTCTTACAATGCTGTGATTGCTAGTATCAGTAGCTTTGTTTACATGTGCAAAATTATTTGACCGGATTGAAATGTTTTCAGATTAAATAATTCAAATGTATCGTTTACATGAGCACAATCCGTTCACGACGAGCGTTTACATGCAGCGGGCTTTTATTCAGAATAGATGTACTGACATGCACAGAGTGGTAAACACTCCTTAAAAAAATAAAACAAAGAAGTACTACTTCCGTGATGAACGTAATCAATCCTGAGCGCCCAAAATGGACCCGTGCCAGGTTTTAATGACGGTGGAGACGTCACTGCACTCCCTGATTGAGCTACAGGTAATACAGATCATTTTGAGCTCTTTCGAAGTTTCTAGTAGAAATGTGTTGCTCACTGACCCGTTTAATTTAACCCGCTAGTTATCATCTAGCCAGGCTGAAAAATGAGGTAGACATAGGTCACACATGCGCAGTCAGGTCAGTTTTCCACAGTCAGAAAAAAACTGAACAGATTAGGTGTTTACAAGCACACTGTTCAGATTATGAATCAGCATAAACCACTCATCTCATTCTGATTACAAATTTTTTCGGATCGAGCTGAATCAACAAAAATAATTCAAATGGGGTGTTTACATGACACATTTTTATTCCAAATGGCCGTTTAATCTGATTACTTATGCCAAGAACCAGGGTTTTGGATTCAAAATAGCCAGACACAGGAGTGCAAAAACAAGAACAGTTTTTAGTTATTATAGGCTGTGGGAGCAAAGTCAGGATCAGCTGAGTTGACAGTCTTCACAGGCAGATGGAGAGTCACCTGTCAAGTCTGCAGCGATGACGTCACTGGTCTTGTGCAGAGCAGCTGCAATAACGTGGTTTGAGGGGCAAATCCAATAACGGGGTCCGGTTGACAGAGCAGGGGTCATGAACAGGAAGGCAGAGGTCCAGATTCAAAATCCAAAAACTTAATCCCAGAGTCGTGGTCATAGACTGAAGAGGAGGTTGTTACCGTGATCAAAGAGGCAGAGCAGAATCAGATGAGGAGCAGGCAAAAACAACCATTACAACTTATGTCCATACAGTATAAACATAGCTCATGGTTTCTGGAGTCCACCCTCTCCCCCGTCACTCGTCTGAGGCAGCCATGGTTCAAAACATCAAAGTTCATGCTCACTAATCCAGGTATAAAATCCAACAAAGTTAAGTCAGGTCCTCTGAACGTTTTTTTGTTGTTGTTGTTGAAACGTTTCATTTTTCAAAACCATCTTATCACCAACAAACTGGATGTCCCACTATGTGAGTGTTCTACCTATGGGACTGAGTTTGTTGTGACTCTTTGGACTGATGAAGTGTTTTCAATGAAAGATGAAACGTTTCAACGAAAAGAAACTGTCCAGATGACCTGACTGAACTTTGTTGAACCTTTACTTAAGTTTTAGCCATTTTCAAAGAAAGGTTGCTTATGTTCCACCGTACTTTTACCTGTTATATCTCCAGTCTGTGCAGCGACTTCTTACAGATCAGAGTGATCCTCGTCAGATCAGCAGACCTGATGATCTGATTGGGGTTGTGCCTTGTTGCACAGTCTGAGTCATCGGTGTAAAGCAGCAGACTGAGCACACCTCAGGGTTCAGTGTTCTAGTTGAAAGTTCTTACAATGATCAGATCACAATGTCTTGTTCAGACTGTAAATAAATAAATGGTCAGACACTGAGATTTATCTTGGTGTTCTAAAGCAGAATTCCAGAAACATCATCGTCTATCACCACTCCTATCTGTTAATTCAGACTCTGCAGACATGGCGGGAGTGTTTGACAGGTTCTGGGTGATACTTAGATCTTTCTGTGTGCACTTGTTGTCTAAACACAAGTAATTAACATTTACTGTCCTGTTCTTTCCTTTGTTTCTCCTTCATTGTGCGTTTGTCTGTCTGTGCTCGTCTTTTTCCATCCCCTGTGTGAATGTGGTACCTCCAAACACAAATGGCGGTCCATATCTGTGACAGGTATGACATGTCAGGCTCGGAGCTCCTACCTGGACACTGAGGTGCTGTGGGGCTACCGCTTCACACCCGTTCTATCTCTGGAGAAGGGCTTCTACGAGGTGGACTACAACAACTTCCACGAAATCTACGAGACCAACACGCCCACCTGCAGCGCCAAGGAGCTAGCCACTGAGTTTCGGGATGAGCCACTTTTGCCTCAGCTTCCACTCCTAAGCCCTGAGCCCAAAACTCTTACTTTTGACCACCTGGACCGCCTGTCAACACTGGATCCACTAAGCCAGGATGAGGCGAACAGGGAGAGGGGTTTAGGGAGTGACAGAGGAGAGAACAATGGCTCAGCTGCTGCTCTGGGGGAGCAGCCTCTGGTTGATGCACTTCCTGACTGAAGGGCCAAATCAGCCAAAAACCCCATGAAAGACTGAATGGTAGAATGCTTCTTTGAATCAATGGCCATCTTGTTCCAGTGCAGCTCCAGGAGACAGAAGCCTTCTGACTCATGCAATATTCCTCTATGAGAGTGTCCATCTATAGCTTAGATTGGTTTGGTAGGCTAATAAGTATGCATACAGATACGCACATGTACAATATCTGTATTTACTCTTCAAGGTTTCAGATCGTCTTTTTATATTCACAATGACCACTTACTGCGCTGACTCATAGCTTTTAGTTTTATTACGTAAACTTGAGCTAAACCCGGTAGCCCTGACAGCTCACCATTGGCTTATTATGGATACTCCAATATTCTCGTTTTAGTGTGCATTAACTCAGCCTTATTTAACTCCCAATGAGAAGTACTGTTTAAGCAGCCTCATAACGCGACAGCAGCTTGCATACAGTAATCGAATCTTGCTTCAATTTATTCCCTTAAATGTGGTCAGTTATAGTTTCCTGTTTGTGTCAGCATTGTTAATCCACGTCAGAATTCTCTACAGCTGGGATGTAAAAGATGGGATTTCTTGTTTGCGGGAAAGGAGCTGTGTGTCATCCAGGTTCCAGTTTAGTTTTCTTTGATTTTCGGTTGTTTGTTCCAAATATCATGCACACACTGGGAGTCTTCACCCTAAAAAAACTGATAGTAAACCTTTTTATATTTGCTCTTTTAGGACTTTACCAGTAAAAATAGACAAATTCCATATAAGCTACTGACTTGACTCTTTTGAAAACTTTTGGGCTCATTAGTGATTTTTTTGTATTTCCCTCTGCACAAACTGAAACATTAAATTCAAGTCTCTGTTCCTTGGAGCATAAAGCACAAATTCCTCTGAAGGGGGGCAGCCATATTGAGCCCCCCCAACATCAAGCTTCTGCTGCTGGCTGAAGCATGTCAGTTCTGGTTAAAGAGGCAATCAAATGTATTCAGATATTAAAAATTTATGCTCACCTTCAAGTTGAAATTCTCCCTTTTTATACACCTTATACAGTATATGAACATTTTAAATGCTTAACCAGCAATATAAAAAAACGTGTTTCATTTAAGGTTTATTTTACTGTAAATGTCAACATTTAAAGAAATAAGAGCTTTGGTATTGAGATAAAGTGTTTTATCTCAAGAGGAAAACTATCTGAATAACTCGTTTGCTTTTCTTTTTTTTTAATTGCTCATTTAAACATCACTCTTCCTTTATGCCTTATGAAGTCCAACACATTTTGTCCAAATATGCACTTTGGTTCTGTTCAGAAAACCACTCCTGGGTTTTTACTTGACATTAATCATAATTGTTGTGACCTACGATACATTTTATTTTATTTAAAACACACAGCAGGCGTGCATGAATTAAGCCTTACTCCCTCTTTGTTGAGTACATTTAACACAGTAAAAATAACAACAGGGTACTTTTTAGGCATGCGAGTTAAGACAATTCTTCAATAAACATTAACAGGTCATCCTCAACCTATCATATAACAGAAGTATATTTTAGATACCAGAAAAAACAGTTCAGATCTTTTGAAGTCAATTTGTGTAGAGTCGTGTTTATCTTAGTGGTTGAAAAATTTTAACAACTTCTGTTGAGAGAAATGGTGATTTTTCTGATTAGACTGATGAGCTAATGGCTGGTCGGAAGGGACTAAAGGCCAAGATGAATTGCTTCCATCTTAAAATGTTGTTTAGAAGGAATTTGAAGGTTATTTGCAATTTCAAAGAGTGGCAGCAGCAGTTAGCTGTAGCACTTCCAGTGTAGCCTGAAGGACTTTTCAGAATATTTCAGCCAAAATCCTCCCAGTAAGCCTTTAACATAAAACTGACAGCAGTGGAAATGTGTACAAACCAGGGTTTGTATGAGCAATGAGTTTGGAGTTGACCCTACTCTAACTAGCCATTAGCTCATCAGCCTGCTCAGAATCAACTTTTCTTTCTCCAAACTGAGATCAGAGAACTGTCTACAGCAGGTAAGATGTTTATTGTTTGCTAACCTTTCTACAGAACCACACTTCAAAAAACCTAAACTTTCTCTTTAAACGTCCAGGTCCCAGTTCTGTTTTTTGATGTACGCTCATCCTCTCTCTTTTTGAACCATCACATTGCAGCACGTGACTGTGTGTAAACTGTCAAACCATTTGTTGGTGAAGAGAGAGGCAGAGATTACCGTTCATTCCTGGGATGATGTTTGTTTTCTGCGTGTTCTCATGGGAATAAACATAATATGGCCAAAACATAATGTCTTTTTCTGCAATGTTTGCACGAATAAACCCACTGTACGTGTGAGTGGATTATACAATATATCCCTTATAAGGGATGCAACATTAACTCAAAACAGTGGCTAATTATATTAGCTATTGCTGGATCAACTGTGAAGACATTTACTATTTTCCCTACAAGCTTTGGGATAAAACCACAGGTTTGCAATTATTTGACCTAAAATCTGGCAATGCCATGCATCTTGTCATGAAAAATAAATTTAGAAACCTCAGCACAATCCCAAACTTTACTACACTGCCGTGCTCTTGAGGCCGAGGAAACAATCATCCACATTAAAGTAAACGAGATACAACTTTTAATCCAACATTTATAAGATCATAAAATAATGCATTCCTATCCGTAATGCCTTTTGTTTTAAACTTTGTTACTAAACTTTTGTTTTTTTATTTTAGCTCACTAGGTGGTGCTTTTTTTTTTTGAGAGCCTCTGAAAGAATCTACAGGCAAAAGTTCAACTCATCCCGACAGAGGTACGCCTTCCTCGACCAGAGTTGCTGCAGCGTCCCACCTCTCATCTCGACTGACAAAATTGTTTTAGTTTGGATGTAAAGAGTAAACACTCACTTGGCATGTGCAGAAGTCAGCATTTAGCCTGGAGAAGCTGTTTCACATGCATGCAGGCTGCAGAATCAGACGCTCCATTACTGACAGCGGTCAACTGCTGTTGGTTTATCCGAAGGCAGGAAGTAATTAGCAGGTGTAGCATACACCTGCAGCTCACTCGTATTTCCATGTCAGTACAGATGAAAACCATTTTTTAAACTAGCAGTTCTATTATGGGCAGAGGTGAATAAATATGAAGAAAAACAAAATTTAAAAATGAAAATTTGATTAGAAAAAAAAACTCCATGTTTGAAGACCAGGAGACGAGCTAAAAACAAGACATTTTCATTTACTGGATCTGAATGGTCCGGAGGTAAATGGTAAATGGACTGTACTTATATAGCGCCTTTCTGTCTCATGAAGACACTCAAAGCGCTTTACACTACAATCTGTGTCCTCATCTACCCATTCATACAGCACTCTGCTAGATCTCTACAAAGCTAATGGAACAAGTCATTCTAAAGAGACTAATCAGAGCTTTATCACATTCATACACCAATGGGACACACATGGGTGGCAATGAGGGGTTCAGTGTCTTGCCCAGGGACACTTCGGCATGTGACTACTGGTGGATTTGAACCCCCAACTCTTGCATTGGAGGATGACTGCTCTAACCACTCAGCCACAGCCGCCCAGGTCTGAAGGATCTTCCCAAAACTCTGAACTAGAAGTTTAAATACATTCTATTTTGGGCATACCAAAGAGAGACAATAGCTTTTCTTCAGAAATTGCTGTAAAATAAATATTTTGTGAAAATTTTAAAACTGAAATTTGGACTTTTTCTAAACAAAAGATCTTTAAAGAGTTTAAAAAACATATATAATTTAACTTTGAACATTTTTATTTGAGGCTGAGATACCTCTAAAAGCCTGAGAAGTTTATTGTGGAATTAAAATATTAAAATAGTATTGTAATCAGTTATAGAAGGTGGTGGGTTTTCCCCTGAGGGACATGAATATAGTCAGACAAGCCGAGGGTTAAACATGTGTTGTATATATAATACATTTTTTATTGCTTTTTTTTTTTTTTTTTTTTACAACAAATAAGGCAAAAATGTGGTATTGGTTATCATTTAAAAATTTTATTTGATATATGGAAACAATTTTATGACCTAAACATCAGGAATCACTGATCTGACAGACACAATCTGCAGGGGTTCCTAACCCTGCTCCTTGAGGAACACCATCCTGCATATCCTGATGCATGCTCAATAATCCAGGTTGAAAAATCTAACAAAGTTAAATCTGGTCCTCTGGACATTCAAAAAAACAAAACAAAGTAAAACAACAAAAAAATGTAGAAACGTTTCGTCTCCATCCGAAAGACTTCCTCAGTCTGCGGTGCTGCATAGTTTAGTTGTTCCTCTGCTTCATCACACCTGATTTTAATGAATGGGTGATTAGCAGGCTTCTGCAAAACTTGAGAAAGTAATTAAATCACTGAATCAGGTGTGTTGGAGCAGAGAAACAAGTAAGATGCAGGATGGTGTTCCTCAGGGACCAGGGTTGGAACCACTGAGCAGCTGAGATGTGACCGGTACCAGCTCAGGCTCAAACTGAGTGTTCAGAACACTTTGACCTGCCTCACGACGAGAGCCAGGTCACCCAGGACTGTTCTCAGCAGGACTTGTGTGACTCATGAAGTTTAGCCAGTGAACAGACCCCTATCCTCACAAGGATCCTACTAAACAATCAGTGGATTGGGTCATAAAAAAATAAAGTAAAACATTTACTAAAGTTTTCCGTGACCCAAAATGGAATAAGCGGGTAAAGAAAATGGATGGATGGATGGATTTACTAAAGTTTTATGTACCTTGTTTGTGTACCAAGAAAATAAACAAAAGAGAGTCTGAGGACATTTATGTTCTTCAAAATCTGCCCAAGAAAGTAGAATTAGTCCTCAGTATGTAGAAAATGTGGTGATTCTGGTTGTAAGCTGACAGAGTTGTACAAATATATATATTTAAATTATTTCAATTCTAATAAGTTTCTTTCCTGCTGACATTTTTGATTTGGAGCCAACTTTTTTTTAAGTCACACTGTGTCCATGTTTTAATGGCAGACCCTATAAGACCCTTTTTATGACAGTAGACAAAGAGACGTGTTTATTGTAAAACTAAACAAAAGCAGAAATGATGCAGTTAGACCATAAAACAGTGAAATTAAACAGCATATCTGGTCTATTATTTTAACATTTTAGAGTTTGTCAAACAATAACCTCAGCTGAATCTGTTTCACGGTCGATTCTTCAGCAGCTTTTCTTATTTTAGTTGTGTTTTCAGTTGACTCATCAGACTACATTTACTTTATTTACTGTAACACAAGTCAGTTCAGTCTGACGGACA